GAATGTCCTTTATCAGAATGTCCTTTATCAGAATGTCCTTTATCAGAATGTCCGTTATTAGAATGTCCTTTATTAGAATGTCCTTTATCAGAATGTCCGTTATTAGAATGTCATTTATCAGAATGTCCTTTATTAGAATGTCCTTTATCAGAATGTCCTTTATCAGAATGTCCCCTGTGACAGAAGTTACTGTATCAACACACAAACACACAACTCACCCTCTAGTTGAAGCCTTATGACCACTTCCTGTCTCCCTGCTCGGTTCTGAGCGACGCACCTCAGCTCCGCGTTCACATCTTCGTCCGTCATCGTTACGACGACGAGCCTCAACTCAATGCGACAGCTTTCAGACACGCCGGTTACCCTGGAAACACCGAGACAAACACCAACACTTTATTTACATGACACGACTGAAAGGCCTGGACCTGATGGCTGAACACTAGACGTGATGTTTGTGGAGTCATACTTCTCTACGAGCAGCTTTAAAGGGGCGATCACAGTTCGGGCTGCTGGATATATCGTGCAATCAAGTAAGGTAAAGATATAGTCAAACACGTCACGCTAACTCTTTCTCCTGCTTGATACAAAAGGAAATAAGTGAAGAAAAACACGGAAAATAAAGATTTGGTTCCAAATAAATATATAAACGCATTGTCACTTCTATGGAAGTGACAATGATGTTATATCCTGTCGTATATCCTGTTGATATACGACAGGATGATGTCGACCAAACATATGGACTTTGGGGAAAATTCCTGCATTATTTCATGTCACAATTTAAAAAATAGTAATAATAATATCGCTGTTTCAGTTTTTCCAAAATTGTGCTGCTCTAAGCAAAGTGAAGAAGGTGCAATACTAAGTGGCAGCAAGTGAACAGGTAGTAGTACGTCTTATAGTGTGGTGAGTATTTGTGTGTTTACACTGAACAAAAGAAGCCGACTTCAACATGTTCAGTCTGCCTTTTAGATTGCAACCTGTTCAAAGTAGATTGTAGTTTTCAAACTAATGTAAAGTCATCTTTAGTGTCTCTAACGGTCATCGTTTCCTGTGTGAAGTGTAGTTTGTTGTGTTGTTTGGTGGCGACATCATGAGTCACACCTGTTAAGTTCCCATTGACTTTCTCTTTATTCCTGTTCACACCTGTTTTAACTTCAGGTTTCAGTGTTAGAAACATCTCAGATCAGCTGTTACCTCCTCCCCCCTTGCAGAGCCCGCCCATCGAGGTACGATGACTCCACCGATTGGTTGTTGACGAGCCATGTGACCACAGTGTAATCCGCCGTTTGACATTCAGTGAGCACCGTACAAGACAGCTCCAGTCCTGACCCTAAATGAGGTCAGAGGTGAATCATCATCATCTGTTCATTAAGGGATTATGAATATACGCATCAGATTTCATATGTTGGTAATGATCATTTCTTATCACTCACCATGCAGACTTTCAAAGATGGTTCCGTTGCGTGGCGAGAGAATCACAGGTGGTTGAATACCTGGAGCTAGAAGGACATAAATAAGAATAAATCAATCAGTAGCACCACATCTATTGTGCCCACAGGGTTATTTTTATTCTATAGAGTGAAATATTAACTCACTGTGAACCGGGATGAAGCTGCTGCTGGTCAGCCCAGGCTCAGAGTTCCCGGAGAGGTCAGGCTCGGTGGTGGTGGTGACGGTGACGGGGTCTATGGTGGTGGTGACGGGGTCTATGGTGGTGGTGACGGGGTCTATGGTGGTGGTGGTGGTGGTGACGGGGTCGACTCCTTAACACATCCAGACAAACAACTCTCAGAATGATCATGACTTATTCCACTCAACAACATTAATAATAATATTGATCATAATAATAATAATTATTATTATTATATTAGAAATTATTAAACAATGACACAGGTAATAATTAATATTATTATTATTATTATATTAAGTTAACAACACTAATAATAACGATGCTAATAGTACCTCAGTGTTGTTGTGGTGTTTAGGTTTTCTACATCTTGTGAGATTGAGTCCGGCTGTCTGAACTAACTCGGTGTGTTACACTTACCAGTCCAGCAGAGGGCAGCACACGCTAATGGTTTATTGTGTTATTGTGAGGAAGTAAAAACTAATAGATGTGATTATTATTACTCATGACCCTATAATTGCAGTAACTTATGTTATATAGATTTTAAAACATTCGTAGTTGTACTGACGCAATTTGTGGATTTTTAAAAAATCATTATATAGCAGAGTATTCTTAATTAGGTTTTAAAATAAAACAGATAATAGAAATACATCAAAGAAATGATGCGTGTCGTCACTCACCTTCCACGTTCAGCACCACGGTCCTGCTGACGTTGTACTGCTGGTCATCGATGAGCGCTCGGAGCCGACAGGTGTACACACCTGCGTGTGACCGCCTCACTGCAGGAATGAGGAGTCTACCTCGGTCCTGCTGGAAGGAGCCCTGAACTCGGCCTGACCGGCGGGGGGTGAGGCCGGAGTCCTGTCAGGAAGCAACACACTGCGTCACTCACAGGGAAGGAGCAAGGCACTAACACCGGGAGGGTTGAGGGTTCAGGTTGAGCCGAGGTCTTTAGTGTATTATGAGGTTAGACCTCCAGCAGCTGCTAAAATAACCTTAGTGTCTCTGGAGCTCCTCTCCCTTTAAGCCGACGGACGTCACAATATCTCACCTATCTGAAACAGCTATAAGTATTGTTTGTATATTATTAATTCATGATTGTATGTATTCTACAAATTATTATTTATAAAACTCAAATTTTCTTAAAACAAGTAAGAAAACTTTGTAAATGTCAATATCTGAAAAAAAGAAAGGAAAACATTGTTTTACTTAATTTAATAGAATGACTGAATTTGATTTTAGAAAATCCGTGAAACAAGTTGAATTAGAAAAACAGTAAAAGAGAAAAAAGATTTTTCTGGTTCTGGTTGAAGAGAAAATCACAAAGTTTGAATTGTGTAACGGGTCAAAGAGCAGAAAACGAGTTTTAAAAGCTGTACGTCTCATAAGTGACCATTGAAGCAGCATTCAAGGTGTTTCTGTCTCACCTTGTGCCACTCGATCAGTCTGTCCGTGCTGTTGAAGTCACTGAGAGACGGACACGACAGCCTCAGGTATTCTCCCACTGAGACCGGGATCGGGTAGGACAGTTTCTCCACGTCAGCAGAACCGGACTCGTACACGTGTAGCCCGATGCTCCCGGTTACACAGTAGGTCTCGTTTCTGGGGAGAGAAAGTGAGGACACGCACTTTACAGAAGCTGAAGCTTGTTCTTCAAGGACAAACACTAACTGTGCATTCAAGTACTCATACTACCACACAAGTATGCCAGAAAAAGACTTAGTATGTCCCAATACATAGTATATCAAATGCAGTATGCACAAAGTACCACGACGTCCTGCTGCATCCGGTTACATTTTGCAGTTTGCTTTTCTGACCCAGAAGTAAAAGTATGTGATTTAGATTTAGAATGCAGCTGAAATCTCTGCTGAGATTATAATCTCTCTCAGAGATTATAACCTCTACAGAGGAGGAAAGATGAACTCCTGAAGAGAGAGGGTCACAAAAGAGATGTCTGTGTGTTTTCATAATCATTGTCTCAGGTCTAGTGTTACCTCGAGACCTCTAGTCATTTGCAGTCTAATCTTAATCTCATGCAAATCTTCCATCTCCGTTATTTGTTGTATTTCTGTAAACATGTCATAATATTAATCTCATGAGAATCACAGTTTTGTTTCCCAGTCGAGAATCATGGAGGCTTTATATTGGCAATATAAAAATACAAAAGTAAAGTTTTGACAGCATTTAGGGTGCAAAGGCATAGAGACCCGTTCACACCGGAGCAACATTTATTATAATATATACGGTAATCTCTGTCAATATGACATAAATAGGCCGATGTGACAGAAGATAAAATCTGATTTTCTTAAGAAATTCTTGTGCCAGAGATTTATCAACAATTACAACAGAATAAGAACAAGAATAAGAAAAAAACAAGTGAAAATATAAACATATTTGAACAATAGAGTAATACATATTACGTGTATAAGAAGTAATACTGACACCAGAGCCTGACATACTAAAATACTAGTAATACTGTGAATACTGTGCATGAGACTGAGGGAATATTGGCAATGGTAGTGAAGAATAAGAGAACGTTATATTGCACACAATGTATTGAAAGTAATATTGTTAAATGTTTAATATTATAATATTAAATACATATTATAATATTTGTAATATAAGCAGATGTTACGTAGAGCCTTGATATCGTATCCGAAGGGTTAATGTTAGTCAATTAAAATAAAATACTTATCTCTTGAGAATGTGACGCACAAAACACGTTTTATCTTCAGCGTAACAACAAGCAGGTATTAAAACACAAAGATGTGAAATACTATACAAAGTACAACAAGCTTTTTTATGTAGTTTATCAGATAAGGTTCAGCAGAACATGGAGGAAAGGACCGCTTCTAACCTGTAAGTGCAGATATATTCCCCTGAGTCAGCAGCCTGAGCGGGGAGGAGCCACAGCTGGTTGTCCCGCTGCTGGACACGCCCCTCGCCGTGATAAGCCCCGCCCTGCGTCCCGTTGCCCTTGGTGATGAGGTACTTTGCGGTCGGGGGGGCGATGTTGTGTACTTCAAGGACCCTCTCGAACATCGGGAAGGAGAGGATTATGGCCTCGCCCTCCACTCTTAAAACGTTGACCTCTGGAGACACCAGGGAGCAGCCGTCTGCAGAGGAAACGCTTTATTATCAGCTACATGTAACACCTTTAGTTCTTTAAATACCGGATATGGTCTGAAGAAAACAAGAACAGCCCGGTGAGGTTCTTCACCTGCACCTCATCCACTGTTTCCTTTCACTCTGCAGATGTATAGTCGTGTATAATAAGCAGCACGCTCACCTTCCACAGGCAGAGGAGAGAGAGGAGCTCTTCCACAAACAGACGGTATGATGAGCACAGCCAACATCAGCACCAAGCGGACCATGATGGCAGTCTGCAGGGACACACGTCTCAATGCTCAGTGATGTCTGATAACAGAGAGACTAATAATTCATAATTAAGACGACTGGAGGTAAACTACAGTATGATATATAACTTAGAGTCAAGAAGTTGTTTCCTCTCAAGCAGCTTGAAGTCTCAATGACGTCCCGCCTTTCATTTAAACTCTTCTCTTTAGATCGTAAAAACTTGTGACATCACAAGAGTCGTCATCATCCCCCACACACACACACACACACACACACACACTCAGCAGCCACTTCTAACCTCATGAGATGAGTCACCTTAATGGTTTAAAGGCCACTGATGTCAGAGGTCAGAAGGATTAATAACTAACAATAATAATTATGTAAAAATACATATTTACAACTCAAAACATAAGGTTGATTTTCCTGCTGTTTAAAGTATTAATAAAACATGAATTATAGATTAGAGTTGTCTGGTTTTAGAAGTTACAGCAATCTGCTAGATATGTTGTAATAATAGATAATAACAATTGTTATTTACTATATTCTACTGATGTATTCTGTTTAAATACACATCAATATATCTATTATTCATAACATATTACGTATAATATCATATCTTAGTTTAATATATTCTATCCTCTGCTCCACATTATTCAGTTTTATTCTGTTATTTCTGAGTTTTGTCAGACAGGAATTATTGAGCTCTCGGCTTCGCCGCAGAGTTAAAATCATATTTTCCATAGAAACCAGATCATTTTCACTTCTGCTTCTGTTTCCTCGTCTGAGATTATACGGAGCAGTGGACACTTTCTCACATACGCGCACACACACACACACACACACACACACACACACACACACACACACACTCGTTACACATCTTTTCCCCAATCAGTGTGTCATCAGAAGGCATCCCCATTCATAAATTCTGTGGGAGTTTCTCTGTTTTTACACACATGAGTCACAATGCTTGTCTGGATTCAAATGGAAACTTAGAAAGTATCTATTAATGAACCGGAGCTTATTTTTGATGACAATCCGTTATCCTCTCACAATGACATAATATGCATAAAACACAGTAAACTCTGTTTAACTCTGTTTATGTCCAATAAGAGAACAATAATAAGATCATTTCAGTCGTTGTGTTGCTGTAGTTTCTTTGCTTTGCGTTTACTCTGAACATTACATTGATTTATTTATGATAAAAATAGATATGTTGAATTGCACAAACTAAATATGAATATATACATGTGAATTATATGGAATTATTGACTGATTCAGTTTAGATGGCACATATATAAATACTTTTCTAATATCTACATTCTCTTTGTCAATAACATATTTACACGATTTATTTGAGCATTTCAAGATAAATGTGTATAAACGTGTATAAATGTGTATAAACGTGTATAAACGTGTATAAACGTGTATAAATGTGTATAAACTTGTATAAACGTGTATAAACGTGTATAAACGTGTATAAACGTGTATAAATGTGTATAAACTTGTATAAACGTGTATAAACGTGTATAAACGTGTATAAACGTGTTTAAATCAGTCAAAACGTAATCAATAGTGTAAAATACATGATGAAAAGTAGAGAAACTACAAAGTAAAATAATGCATAAAAGGTATGTATAAAATATAAATGTCAATAAATACATAAATTATATTTGTGATACAAACTGCATACAGTATAGTACATACAAGCAGTACTTATTAACATTTAACACGAGTAAAAGTATCAAAAGATACACACATACGTTCAATACATGTAGGTATAAATGAACTATACGTTATATATATTGTATATATATTATATATAGCAGGGTTTACTCACGGTGTGACAGCGCTGAGACTGGAGCTGCTTGTGCTTGGCTTCCTGCTGGCTCTCTTTTCTACGTTCTCTGAGATGGAAATTTCTCAGGTTTCCCAATGTAACGCTGTGTGCTGTACAGCTCAACCACCACTCATATATCTGCTGACTCAGCACACACACACACACACACTATATACGTTGTTTCCTGCAGGTTCATTCAGAAAGGACAGTTGTCTAGTTTTAGTGTTTTGCGACTGTTGTTGCTGCTCCTCTGGCATCATCGGCCTCTTGCGTCAGTGGTGGACATCTCTGTTTGTTTTAGCACAATAACACACACACACACACACACACACACACACACACACACAAGAGGGAACGAAAATGTATAATAAAAGAACATTTTCTCACTACTAGCATGCAAATAGTTTTCGTTTCCCAGCAACCAGTGGCGATCTTTGGTATGCACATCTTGGGTGGGAGACACACAATATTCATATGAAAAAATGTGATGATGCAATCCAAACATAGCGTAGATATATCCCATTGAACCATCTTAGACCAACATAGAGGACCAACATAAAGGACCAACACATAGGACCACTGAGGACCATGTTAAAGATCTCTCAACATCCAATAGCCGACTCGTAACGAAAGGTTGAGCAACCTCATCCTAAACATTACAAACCAAAAGTTACTTTAGAATGATGGCTGAAGTGACCTTACAGTAGTGTTGATGGTTGTCACGGTTCCTTAGTCTGGAGTCCATCCGTTTTATACTTTGGAAACAGAAAGGCTAGCTGTTTACCCCTGCTTCCAGTCTTTATGCTAAGCTAGGCTAACCTTTGATCTTCTCATCTAACTCTCATACAGAAAGCCAATGATCATATTTTCTTAAATGTTGAACTATTCCTCTGAGCATTAAAGTTGAGACAAAGAGTTCTCTTTTGTTGACAGCTCTCTAAGCCAATTATGATTTGAATATTATTGTTATTTTATAACATTTCAATGGCTGATAACTTGTTTAGTTTCCAATATTCAGCTCGAGCCCTAAGATTGTGTAACTGTAATGAAACGAGTTGACATTTTCAACACTACATTTTCTGAGTGAAAGCATTTTGCGTGACTTTTGCTCTTTCAGTTTCTGTTATTGTAGCTGTGAAGCTGATCATTCATCATCTGATCATCTGATGAATATTTGAACCCTTTACTATCAGCTGCTGAGTCATCTGACCTCAGGGCTAAGTATGTGTTGTGATTAATGGAGGGGCTCTGGTGAAGGCCACCATATTGTTGGTTTCTGCCTCATGATTGGTGAATAACAGGCCAGCCGTTCTGTCATGAAATGTGCGGCACTCCCTAAACTAATATGTGCACTTCTGCACGTTCATGAGAGCAGGTGACTTTTGATGTTGCAGTAGAATCAGGGTTCTAGTTTAGTTTGTTAGAGTTTCTCTCTCTGACTGTGTTGATGGTCTGAATGCACTCATGTCATGTTATCAGGAGATGCACGATGTGAAGACAGAGCGTAGCCAACGAGCTGCGTTAGCCTGGCGAGCTAACACTAATATACACAAATATAACTGATAATAACGTGAGTAAAATGTGGTTCACATTTTACAAATTGAGCGGATAGAAATGTAATATCTGTGTACTGTCTTTATTTGGATTTGGAAAGGGGTCGGAGGGAGTATGTGAGAATACTTTTTATAAATATTGGCGTTGATAAACTATTTTATGAAGATGGTCAGAGATCTTTATAGAAATAGAAGCTCTGCCCTTTGAGGCTACAAACAGCGCCCAGCTTTGTGTGCTTTGACCTTGTTATTAGTTATAAAAGTCTCTAATGTAAGGTTAAGATCACATCCACTAGAGCGTGGGATAGTTTATGAAGTGTTTATTCACAGCCGACTGTGAGGAGCACAGAGAGCTTCATGTTGTTTCTGCACTGGTCAGATTAAACCGATCAACATCCTTGTCTGTGTGAGAACGCAGGCCGCTGACAAAAAGTCAAGTTCTAAAAATACTTCCGACCGTTCCTGAAGAAGAAAAACTTGCATGTTTTATTTGTGACTAACTGCTCCGTCATCTCACAGCGTCAAAACACCCCCCCCCCCCCCCCCACACACACACACACACACACACACACACACACACACACACACACATCACGCATTCTGGTGGATTACTCCATCTATGTGACACGCTGGTGGTGCTGGGCCTTTACCAACATGCTGCAGACTCACGCTGATGACACGAGGTTCCTCGGTGATGCAAGCTGTGGCACGGCTGTCATCGTAACAGGCCCAGAGCTGAGGCTGCTGTTACTGCTGCATCCTACTTTATACTCACTCACAGTCCAAGCACAACATTTAGTTTGGACCGAAAGTAATCGAAGCAGAAGCAGCACTTGTAAACAAAAGACAAAGATCTGGTAACGTGATGTCATGTGTGTCTCTGCTTTAGTAAACACTTTAGAGACAGAAGTTCTTCTTTGATGGCCGTGCTCTGGTTCTGCTCAGATGTCCATGAGGAGCTGCATCCTTCTTCTGCTTATGAAAGTCTTCAAAATCTTAAAAATCTACATGCAAGTAAATATTTATCAGCCAAATCAAATAGTTTACAGAATATATTCAACCTTTGTTTCTTTATAATACATTTAAAACTTCTTTACAGAGTTTGTATGAAGGTAATAACGTAGTTTATGAACATGAGATATGATTATAATCCGTCCTCTTCATAGTGGAGGTTAGTTTATGGAGTTTAGCCGGTTACACTCGTCTTCTTGATTGCTCACAGTTCATTTTGTTTGTTGGTCCTCTGATGTTTCAGAGAATAAAGAATAAAGCATAAAGCGTTGATCATAAACGCTACAGCGTTGCTTCCAGTTCTGCCCAGTGGCCGCTCGCGGCATTGCACCCAAAATCCCCCTTTGGCCCAAACAGCATGTTCCTCATGGAGCACAGGACGCCTCTCGGTGTTCAGCATCCGGTTCTTATAATGAACCCACGGTCGGAGATTCAGGTGTGTTGTGCTAGCAGCTAATGTAGCCTCGAGCTTTTAGCCTCACGCTTTATTAAAGTTCTCTACATATTCAGTCTCCCCACGACCTGAAAATAGACTTTGACGTGTAAAATCAGGAGTTCCTCTTTAAACTAGTGATATTAGTTTAAACAAGTTTAACAACCATTTTAATATCCAGTTGTTTTCCATCAA